GCCTTCTGTATAAATAAAGAAGCACTCTGGCTGCTAGTCAGGCTGCAAGATTCTCCTGACCATCATGCCTGATCACCCCTTTCCTCCCTGATTCCTTAGATCCTCTCTGGACCTATCAACTGCTGGGTCTGGCTCCCAAAAAACCCTAAACCAAAAAACCCAGAGATGGATAACCTTCCTTGGGCTTCCGGTGGTGGGCAGGGGCAGTGAGAGTTTCCCTTAAGCTGAAACACAAGCACTAAGGTGAGAGGGGAGCAAAGAGGGTTGAGTGCTCTTCAGAACATCTCTTGTTTTATTCAACAATGCAGCAGTAAAGTGCAACAGAAAAATGTAAAAGTTGGCAATTTGTGTATGCTAAGGAGAAGCTATAAAACGTCTTAGTCGGTGTTCTAGTGCTGTGAAGGGACACCACAGCAATGCATAAAAGACAGCATTTAACTGGGGCGGGCTTATAGTTTCATAAGTTTAGGCTATTTTTATCATGGTGAGAAGTGTGGCAGCAGGAAGACAGATACTACTGGAGAAGGAGCTGAGAGCTCTATATCAGAATATGCAGCCATCAGGAGAGAGAGCCACATGTCCCATTTCAATTATTTTACCTCTTTCTTTACCTGCTTTGCATATTGCCATGCCCCAAATTAGAACCCAGTCTCTCCATTCCACTTGCTTTACCCACAAGTCCTGGCTTCTGCTCCTGCTGTTCTTCAAAGCTACTGGAACTGAACCTTTCTCTTCCTCCGGTCTCTAGCTCTATGTTCTAGCCTCTAGAAGTTCCTATCAAGGCCTTAATTTTCTAGAAAAAGGACAGTGGCTGGTCCAAACAAACCAAACTTTTGGAGTGTATTGTTAAACTGACTAGATCACTAGCTTCCACCAACACTAAAGGAGAGAATGTTGTAAGGCACTATTTGAAACCTGTATCAGAGATTTTGCAAGTCTGCTGCAACCAACTTACCTGATTGTCTCCACCAACACATTTGCTAATTGCACTTATTTAAGACTAATCTTTTTTTTTTTTTTTTTTTACTACAAAAGTGTGTTACCTCTTCCACAATGGAACATACCATTTAAACAACTTTGAATCCATCTTTGAAAGCTATAGTTACTTGTTTGGGTCAGAATAAACTATCATCTTATTTTCTTTGGAGTAAGAGCCTGGTCTTATCTTAATACCTACAAGGTTATAAGGAAAAAATCACCTTTACCCACCCTTACAGCATTACACAGTTCTATACCAGTGGTTCTCCAAAGGATGAATTTGCCTCCAGGGGAACACTGGCAATCTCTGGAGATAATTTTTAGTAGTCAAAACCCATAATCTTTTTATCTCATGATGCCAGAGGTGACACTAAATGTTTTACAACACAGATGACAATTCTCTACAATAAACAATGAGCTGGCTATAAATGCCATTACTGCCAAAGTAGAGAAACACTGGTCTAGCCCTTATGAAAGAAATCCAGACAGCATAGGCCCAAGACAGCTAGTGTGCAAGGTTCCTGACAGAAGGTTATAGTTTCCAGAGAGGATTTTTATGATTAGTGGTCTTGGCATCAGAGAGAGAGAGAGAAAAAGAGTAGGGAAAAGATGTAATTGTATCTTAAAAAAAAAACTGTCATTTCTATACTGATGAAGATAAATGTTTTCTACAAGCCCATGTTTTAGTAAACAAAAGGGAATGTTAGTTGGGACTATGGGTAGTCCTTTGGGCAACAGACACATGGAAAAGGGCAGAATAAATCTGTGACTAATTTCTGTAGTGGAGAAGTTTCTAGGATTTGAGAAGCCAAAGATCTGTAACATGATACAGATACTCCATTGGAAAACATTCTGTCTCTCTGTAAAATTATCATACAAGCTATTCTTATATTATTTTTAATCAAGCAGAGTATTTCTCTGTCTCTATACTTTTATCTACACATCTCCCTGGCCTTACTCTTTGCCCTTCTGTTGCTTTACCTAAATCTAAGCCACTCCTTCTTTGGATAGTCAGCTCAAGATCCATCTCCTATAAGCCTATCTGCCCATACTACTTCCTCGACAGTAGCAATACTCTGTTTCCTAATGTCCTAATATTCACTGTTTAAAAATACACATGACCCATCTACCTAATTAAAAACAGAATTTCACTAGTGTCAGGGACCCTATTGTTTCCAAGACTTGCCCACACACTTTACATAAAGACCCCTTTATTCCCTTTCTCTCAGTGTTACTGGTAATGGATTTTGCCTGTTTCAATTGCTAGTGTTTACTAAGTCTTTACCAGATGCAAGAATCTGTTCTAAGTATATAATATCTAATTTAAAGCACTGTTTTCCCTCTTTGCAGAAAAGGAAATGGAAGGAGAGGGGGAAGTCACTTTCTAAAGTTATCAGGCTAAGAGGTGATTGAATTCAAATTCAACCATCCAGACTCCAGAACTTACACTATGCAAAGCAGTCCTAACCCATCTGTGAGAATGTAAAAGACCAAAGGCAAAGGCAGACAGAGCATCCTCCTGGAACCTGAATGTTGTAGAACTGGAAGCATTGGGTTTTGCTTCTGAATTCTTCATTTGCAACTATACTGAAGCCAGTAATACCATTTATTCATTCATAGAAAGAATGAAAACCACAAATATAAAATATTGTTCCAGTCTATAGAAAGAGCTTAGCAAGTTCCAGGCTTTCTGTTTATCTTTGAATATGGATTCAATTTAGCTTAGGCTTACACTTCCCTACTTTGTTTTGAGATAAGGTCTTACCATGTATGCCAGGCTGGCCTAGAACTCTTAACCTTCCTGCCTCAGTCTCCAGAGTGGGGGATTACAGGTATATGTCACTGTTCTGGCTTATTTCTCTACTCTGTCACTTTCTATCACAGCAATCTATATATTTTGCTGTGATGAAATGTCTCTTAGGTAATTCTAAAGGCTAAGCTCCCAAATTCTTTAAAATAGTATCATTCCCTGTTTGTTATAGTGCCCTTCTTTTCCTCCTAGATTCTAGAGAGCCTCTCTGCCCTGTAATAATCCCCACCATTAATCTCTTCTCTGAATTCAGGGGTACGCTGTGAATTTATTAGGATTTGTTCCACAGATAAAAGACATGTAGTTAGGCAGAGTTAGTTCTCAAACCTTGAGGCTAAATTTCTTGACCATGTTGCATCTGCTACAGCACACAGTGCCTCATGCCTCACAGTAAGGACATTTACTGAAAGCTGAGTAGATGTTGGGCTCTTCTAAGGGTCTTACATGAACATATGAACTCATTTAGTCTTCACAATGACCTCGTTATTAGTACTCTCAGTTTCTTTCCATGTTACAGATCAGAAAACTGAGCCCCAAAGAGCTTAAGTAACTGGCCAAGGTTATGCCAGGGAGCCTGGGCGCTATATCCAAGCAGCTTGGCATCAGAATCTCCTTTATTAACCACCATGCTAGTCAAAATTCAGTAAAATATGTTAATTTGTGTAAAAGAGATCCCAAACCTATTCAGAACAATAAATGCACAGATCCAAACAAAATACCTCTGTGACATCTCCAATGGAGGAGAGGCAACAGTAGCTGTTGTAGTCACCTAATCCTTTGTATGAAATCTCTACATCTCAAGATTAAAGTGCTATTGGTTAAGATGTTTATGAAAATTAAATGAGATTAGAAGATGGAAGAGTCCCAAGGACATGCAGGTTACATAAATCATGGATCAAATTGAAAAACTAGACAGTTTTCTTTGCCACATTACTACTAAGCAACAATTATAAAACAAGTAATAATCATAAAATCCTCTGGGACAATACACTAATTTTACTAATTTTTTGAACACCCAAAACTCGTAAAACATTCAAATAACATTAATTATCTATAATGTGGGACAAAGAGGCTCAGAGTGCTGCCGCCTCCAGGCACCAATCTAACGAAACAGAAGAGCCTTTGATTCATTGCAGTAAACGCAAATATAAAAAGCAAATAATAAAGTCCAGTGAACTACTTATATTGACAATCACAAGTGTATCCAAATGTATGAAAGGTCTGGAAAGCATGCCGTGGGAGGCCAAGGGACTGAACAGAGCAGAAAAGTTAAGTGTGGCAATGCTGATCCTGCAAAAACTTTGAATGAGTCAACAGTTTGTGTGGATATGGAGACTGTATATAAACACAAACATTAGATGATCAGATTTTTGGCAAGTTTTAAGGTCACTGAAGATGAGCCCTTCCCCTCAATAGTAGCTTGAGAAAAACCAGGAATGAATACTGCAGGATTTTGATTTCTAGTCCCCAGATAATGGGATCTGAGTCTTTCTTGTCTGTCTGTTATTCTGTAATACAGTCTGTCTTCTGCACTGTGCTGTATGTCTGTCCAGTCACAAGATCAGAAAGTCAAAGGCAGCTACGGGAGGCCAGAGATACAGGTGGGAAAAGAGCCTGGCCTCAGGTCAAGTTTGAGGAAGGGCACTAGAATGGATTCTTATGTTCCCCACACTCCCTCCAAGTGAGCCGCTGAGATAAAGCCTAAGAAATTCTTTTCCCGAACGGCAAGTTCCAGGAATATGAGTTCCCTTCAGTTTTTCCAGCTGGGTTGCAGAAAGGAAGAGGGTGACTCGATTCTAAGGCTAGATTTTAATCATTTTTTTAAAAATGTGATAATCATCGAGGAAATGTGACATGAGGAGGTGACATTTCTGCAAAATGCTTCCAAGGACCCTTGATTGAGAAGTAATGGTCTTAGCAAAGTGCATCTTGCAGAGGCGGTCCTCCGATTTCAGCCGTGTTTGTTCCACCGAAGCTTCTAGACCAGCCCCTTCCTTCTTCCCACTAGCTGCCGCACCAGCCCTACCCAAAGAAGCTGAAGCAAGCTGGGACCTATTCTGAAGGAAACCTAGATGGCGGTGTCCCGCCAGTGAAAGGTCTGAGGAGACCGTCTCCAGGCCTAGAGCTTCTCCAGACCATTAGCAGAAGGTGATGTCGCCAGAGATCTGTGCTGCCCCGAACCTCCCGAGGCGGTCGTTTCGAACCCACTTACCAGCCCTCCGGCACGCCGCAGCTGGAGCGCAGAGACAGCCATCCTTGACTCAGGCAGAGCCACCCGCTGAACCTCAGTGCCAGACACCCTCGGGGGGTGGGGGGGGAGGAGGAGGACTGGCCCCGCCCACTCCTGCTCACCCGCCCCTCACACACCCCCTAGAGTCCCCGCCCACCCCCGCCTACGGAACCCCAGTAGAGACATAAGCTCTCTCCAATTGCTCCCTACAGCTCGCTCACGCGAGACTTGGGCAAGGCGGGTGGCGGGGAGGGAAAGGAGACACAACAAACATGGCGGTCGCAGCTGCGACGCTGGCGAACGCTGAAGCAGTGGCGGCGGCGGAAAAGGTCGTGCTGATTCCACGGTGCAGTTGTCAGGAGGTGAGTAACGGGATGTCAGCTTGTACAGCGGCGCCACGGTTAAGCAGGGCACATTGACTGGATGGCGGAAGGTAAAGTGCCGGGTTCATCGCGGGCCGGCTACCACCACCACCGTAGCCTTGTCCATAGCGGAGGGGTCGTGCGCGCCCCGGGGGCTAGCGGCGTGGTGGCCCAGGGCATTCTTGGGTCGAGCATGTAGGTCGGTGACTGGGTCCGCCGCCCGGAGGGATCGGCTCGCGAGTCGGCGCCGTCGGGCGGGAGCTCGGAGGCTCAGGGTGGGGAGCTGCCTCCTGCTTTGATGGGTGGCGATCGGTGTGTGTGTGCGTGTGTGAGGGAGGGGGTGCCCCTGTGTGTCTTGTTCTCGGGTGCTAAAGTCAGGAGTCGACCCCAGCAATCCCAGGTATTGGGAACCTTGGAGAGGGTGTCCGTCCGACGCCTGTCCCGGGCTGTTGAGAAGGAGTTTCTAAACCCTCGAGTTTTCTCTTCCAGGACTGGTTTCTACTGCGTGTACCTTCCAGTATTGGGAACAGATGAGGTTGGGAAGGATGTTACAGCAAAGAGCTCTTCGGATTCATTCAGGGTTCACGTCCCTAATAGACTGTCCCGAATGATCGTGGGTGCTCAGCGTAGCTCCTCAGCGGAGCATCAACGTGCTCTATGTCTAACTGGATCCAAAGTGTAGTCGGTTGTGTCTGCCAGTAACCGCATGGCTCATTTAATGACCCCTTTATGTGCTGGTCGGAACCGGACAGAGGAGTGACAAGTGAGAGAAGACATGGAGACTTCTTAATATTGTGAGATCCAGGGAAATTACATTTAGAAGACACAAAATGAAAACAATTGTTTAAAATATCTGTACTACTTTAAAATTTTGTCTTGAGTTTATGTTGTCTTCAGCAGGGCTGAGGATGAATGTTTTCTTGGAAGGTCCTTGTAGTGAACTGACATATTTGATGTTCTTTTTCTGTAATGGTCTGGTGTTTCCTGGGAAACCGTAACTGTTGTACTTTAAAAGAGATAATGAAGATGGGGATCAGATCTGCCTCTGTTGAGCTCTGGTGGTTGTTACAAGTATTTCCCTAGTATAGGGGTAATGTACTTTTTAATGCAACTATACTTATTCAGCAATACTAAGCCTAACATCTCTGGATGTATACTGTGAATAATGGAAATCAATATATTAAATGTGGAATTTCATTTAAATTTTTGTTAAAAGTAAAATCACCAGTGGCAAAATGATAGCAACACAAGTGACTACATTTTAATTGTGGATCACCATGCTTTGCTATTGTTTTTTTGGGGGGGAGTTAATTTTTTTTTCTTGTTAGTGATAATGGCAAACAAGTTGTTGTCTTATTGGTTTATTAAAGCTGTAGTTACTAGTAAAGTTTTGACTTGTGTGCCTTTGCAGACTTCTTGAGGTTTTTGAATTTTAGTTGATATTCCCTCCGTGACATTTTGGAATCCTTTGGTGTGTCTCCAGAGTAAATTTCAGTTACTGGACGGTTTGTCAGTGCTGCAGTGGAAAGAAAGGGTGAAAGTATTTTGGGGTGAAAAGGTTAGATTGTATAATTTCTTCTTTTGGATTTCTTCTGATGTGGTTCTGTTTCTGTTTTACTTTTTTATATTATGTTTTCTATTTCTCAGACGAGCCTCATCACAGTGTTTGTGCCTTCAGTCTGAGCAGTAAGTTAGGAACTCACGAATTGTAGTCTGATGGTTTTTGAAGGCCTGCATTACTCTGGATGAACCAACTTCTCCTTTGTCAGCCTTTTTCACTAATGTACATTCTCTTGGAGATGAAGTCTTTCTGTGACCATATCAATATGTTATAGAAGTAGACATAGCTGTTGAACTACAAACAACTATATAGGTCTGCTTAACATCTGTTTTTAAGATATCAAAAAAGTTAGGGCTAAGTATTCTTCCTTATGGATAGTAATCTTTCAGTTTAAACAATTCCGTTTTTAAAATGCCAGGTAAATGAGATATACCGTATACTCCCTAATGAAGCTCTTCCAGTTCTTCCGCAGTCAGTGAGGAGGGCATATTAAAGGGGTTTTTTTTATTTAAATTTGTTTTTATTTTATTTCATGTGTATGGTTCTTTTGTCTACACTTATGTCTGCATCATGTGTGTGCATGGTGCACACAAAGGTCTGAAGAGGGCATCATATCCCCTGGAACTCAAGTTAGAGATGTTTATAAGCCTCCATGTGTGTGTTGGGAATTGAACTCATGTCCTTTGCAAGAGCTGCCAGTGCTCTTAACTATGAGTCATCTCTCTTGTCTCTTTGATTTTTTTGAAAGGTTCTATATATTTTATTGCTGAACAGACCAGTTGGCTCATGTGGAACAGATAAAAGCAAATCAAACCCCAATTTAAACATGACCAAATCTTCAGAGGTTAAAAAAATGTCCATTCAGTTCCATCTGGTAGGATTGATAGATGGCTGTGATTCAGCAAACCCTCAGTCATGACATTGTGTGCAAATCCTTGTAGATCCTGCCTCATTCTCCTCCAGTGTCTTGGTGTTGTACGGGGTTTGTTGTCAGTTTTCATCTGAATTCATTGGGGAATAGAACGATTTTATTTTTGTTTCTTGGCCAGGAATTGCTTGATTCTGGAAGTTCTGTGAGAAAACAGAGTGAGAAACCACATTGGACCTGTGTCTCATGGTGGCATAGGAAAGAAGACCATTTGATTTTTATATTACCCGTTTCACAGTTGGGGGTATTTTCCTCTTTTTATCTTAACACCTCTTAAATAATTAGCTCCTGATTAAAAGGTGTTTGTATATATGTATACATACACATATGGGATATATGGAATATTAATTCTTAGTTATTTTTTCCTTTATTAGCTTGAGCAATCTCTGTCTTATAAATTGGAAGTTATTCTCTTTACTTGATGAAATAGGCCTATCTTAGATCACTCTGTTATAACAAATTGCATAAACTATGTCTTAAAACATGATGACTAGCTGGGTATGGTGGTGCACATTTTTAATCCCAGCACTGGGGAGGTAGAGGCAGGTGGATCTCTGAATTTGAGGCCAGCATGGTGTACATAGCAAGTTCTAGGACAGCCAGGATGGTGTAGAAAGACCCTGCCTCAAACTAACAAACCATCACGACTAAAGTAATTCAGGGAAGATAGGGTTTACTTTATCCTGTCCTTCCCTGTAACAGTCCATCACTGAAGAATGTCATGGCAGGAACTGAAGTAGGGCAGGAATTGTGCAGAAGTCATGGCTTTTCCTTCATGCTTACTAGATTGCTTCTCTTTGCTTGTTCAGACTGCTTTTTGTATAATCCAGGACCACCTGCCTGGGGATGGACCTCCCACAGTGAACTGGGCCCTGCCACATCAATCATTAATCAAGTCAATAGCCTGCTCACAGGTTTGCCTACAGGCAATTTTACAGAAGCATTTTCTCAAGTAAGATTCCTCTTTTAGGCATTGTGGTGGCACAAGCTTTTAATTCCAGCATTCAGGAGAGGCAGGGACAAGGGGATCTCTGTAAGTTGAAGGCCAGCCTGGTGTACATAGTTAGTTCCAGGCCAGCCAAAACTACTCTATTGAGATCCCGTTCAGAGGGGAAAAAAAAGTCTCTGTTTGGATATGCCTGGATTTGTGTCAGGTTGACAAAAACCACCCAGCACAGGTTAGGTGGTTTAAACAAGCTTTTGTTCAGGTTGGGGGCTGGTAAGTTTGAGTTGGAGGTGCTAGCAGATACAGGATCTGATTTCTGGTTATATACTCATAGTGCAGAAACAGAGAAGGAATTAACTACAGTTCTCATAATCCTATTCTGACAACTCTGCCCTTACAACAGTTGTCATATTGGAGGTTAGGATTTCATTTGGAGCAATATCAGTTAGCAGAGAGTAGATCTGGCTTAGAATACAGCATCAGAATCTATAATAATATTAAGATATGCTTAAATATGTTTTTCTGATGACATTTTACATTGAAAATCTGAGTAATTTCTTAATTAAAAAGTCCAAGGTGTCAAGTTCACAGCCAGTTAGAATGATAGCAGTTTGAGAGATTGTAGGACCCCTTGTAGATACTAAAATCTGAGGGTGTTCAACCTTTTACATAAAATGCAATAAGATTTGTATGTAACCTATTACACATTCTTCCATAAACATTTTTTTTTTCTTTTTTTACATGGGATTTTTATGTGTTGCTCAGACTGGTCTTGAACTTACATTGGCCACTGAGTGCTGGAATTATAGGCACAGGCTAGCATTCTCTTTATGTAGTCCCCAGATTGTCTATACTATATACAATGTAAGTTGTTCTGATTGTGCATTGTTTGGGGGACACCAAGGAAAATGAGTCTAAATTGTTCAGGATGCACTTTTTAAAATTTTAAATGGTTTTCATTCACAGTTGGTTGACTCCATGTATATATCATTTACATTATGTTTGTAGAGGTTTTAAAATTTGTCAGTACTGAACAGAATCCTCAGGAGTTGTTCTTGTTTTTGTCTGGATGGTTTGGATAGCAAACCCATATTTTCTCTTTATAGCAGGGAGTATTTTTTAGCTTTTGAATTATTGTTTTCATATATATTGCGTAGAGGTATTGACCTGAGATGAAAGAAGCTGGAGTTTGAGCCAGACTCCACTTAGATTTAGGCACCTAGCATTTACATGAGTCTGTTTCATTGCTCTGTAAGTAGCTAGCTTGTCATTCC